ACACGGCCACATCACAGGAGATTATATGGGTAATACTTTAATCCCAAATCTACAAGTAGAGGGGACTGAACTGATGAGGTACAACTGTACAGGGGAGTATTACGCAGCTGTGAAAAGGATCAGTTAGGAGGACGCGTGGGAAAGGCTTCCAAAATGCTCTGTGACAAAAAGCAAGCCCAAAACATCACCTATCGTATTCTACCTGTAATGCAAGTTTTCGGCTTGTTCTTCATTGTTTTAATATAAGCGAATGCATATGTTTGCATACGTATAAGCCCAGGTCGTTTACCATAACCCAAATTTGAGAAAGGAGGGTGAGGAGAGAACCCGCTAACATCCTCTGCAGGCGCCACAAGGGTGCCCCCTCCTGATCCCGCCCTGCGGACCCCGTGTCTGCTCCAGCAACTGAACCGGACTTGGAGCCCTCCTGTCCTGCGAGGCCGAGGCAGACGCTGCTGTCATTGCGAGTGCGCTGCCCTGCAACCTTCGTGGGCGGGATGGTGAGCGTCTGCTGGGGTCCCTCGTGGGTGACGGCTCAGCTTCTGGTGGAGAAATGCCCACGAGTGGGCGGGCGGTCCACACAGTCCTGGAAAAGGGCTTCTTTAGGCTCCACAGACCCGGAGGAGCGCGGCCTGGTGGAGGGCCCGCGGGGAGTGGGGGCTAGGGCCCCTGGGTGAGGGGGCGGGTGGACATGTCTGAGGCGCAGCTGCCCCCGCCTTGGGGACCACCGTGGTGGGGGCTCTGGGCCGCCCCCAGGGGCCTCACGCTTGTCACCGGGAGGCCAGACGGTGCCAGGCTCCGTGCAGCGGGCAGCCGGGCGGCACTGTCCACCCGCGCTGTTCAATTCTCAGTCGGCTTGGGGGAGTCACCAGGTGGGAGGGTCCCGAGCGCCCGGCCACAGCACCTGCTGGCGATGAGAGACGCCGTGGGCAGCGCCACCCCGCTGACCGGCCGCCACTGCCCCGGTCTGTTCATGGAGCCCTAGTCTCGGCCTGGAGTCATCGACACCAGAGCCCTGGAAGCGACGAGTGGACAGCCTGAAGTGACATCGTTGCGGAAGCACATTGGTGTCCCCGAGGACTGAAGTCTGGGGACAGGGTCAGTGATGGAGACTGGGTGGCCCTAAGCCAGGGTGGACGTCGGCATGGGTCATCCTTCAGAAGAAACTGAGGCTGGGGTGAAGTCACCGCGGCCAGGGGACACGTCTGGGACCAAGCCCTGCGCCGCCTGCCCCCCTGCCCCTGCCCCGCCGTGCCCTGGCCACCTCCGCCTGTGCCTGCAGGAGGTGCCTTGTCTCCTGCAGCCCTGGTCTCCAGTCCCTGAGAGCCGTCCGGGGACGGTGGCTGATGCTGGGAGGCGGCGCCCGAGGGTGACTCCGGGCTCTGTGCCTGGCCCCGGTGCATCTTGGGAACGGACTGCCGCCTGCCAGGCCCGGGGCCGTCCTGCGGCCCAGGAGACCAGCTGAGGGGGCGGCTGACGGGCAGGAGAGGGCCACCCTAGCTGCTGAGGACCGGCCGCCTGGACCTCTCCCCGACACACCTGGGGCGCAGGGTGCAGAGCCTGCCTCAGTTTACCCAGCCACGCTCTGGGGCATCGCCGCGGCCTGAGGGTCATCAGCAGGCCCTCCGCAGCCCGCGGCTCTCAGGCCAGCGCCTGGCACACAGTGGGCACTCGTGTCCAGTACTCACCAGACAGGAT